ATATATATATATATATATATATATATATATATATAACAAGTTAGCAAAAATGACAAATCCTAAACAGGACAACATTTAACTTGCAGCGTTTTCCTGTGAAGTGTAAAAAATAACCCGATCAGATTTTTAATCAAGAGTCATCCAGTTTATACAGCAAACATCGCCAATATTAAACAAGTAACTGAGGGCTGATAACTTACTCACGACTATAACTTCATCATACACAAAAAACGGAACTAAAATAAACGCCCCTTCAGTAATATAATACTAGGACCGTATAAAATTTCAAATGTAACCATTTTAATGACTAAAAAAAGTTGACAAATGAATTCCTTAACGCTGTCTGCCTTCATCAACATAACGTGAATCAAGAAATTCAAGAAAAATTCCAAAAAGTTAAGAACTTAAACAAAAAAATGAATAACATCGATAGCAAACAGGCTTTGGAAATCCTTTCACCATTCTTCTGATTTTACAGCTGGAAAAATATGGGCATATGCTGATTTTGTAAAGTCAAACAATATAAAATAACACTGCTCACAGTATTTTACTTCACTAGTCTTACCAAAGAAGCGGAAGAAACTTCGGATTAGTTTCGTTTTTTAGATGTAGATGTTGAGTCTTCTTCAACATCATCAGTTTTTCCTTCTTTCTTTTCCTCTTTCTTTGCATCCTTTTCTTCCTTCTCACTTTTTTCCTTTTCTTTCTCAGCTTTTTGCAGTGACAACTAAAAGGAGGCTGGCTGCTACAGTTAAAATTAATAAAAGAACAAAGAAAAATGGAAGAAAAATGGGCAATAATTTGAAGAACCAGCATACCTTATTATCTATCAAATTATGTAGCGCTATTACGGTACGAACCAAAGACCCCATGTAAACGCACATCAATTGATCATTGGTTTGCACGTTATGTGCTTCAACAAACTGGGGGGAAGTGACGTCTGGTAATAAGTTGATTACTTCCTGAAAAAGACGGGAGGAAGACATCACTTTTTGAGGTAGCGTCATGGATTTGAAAGAAACCGTTCCAAAATAACTTTTGGTCATTTTGAATAATTGTAGAAACGCTCACTTCTCAGATCCATAAAAAGTGTTAGGTGCTGCAAAAAACTACCAAAAATTACCTGAATGTAATAAATAACAGCGTGATTGATAGGCAACTTTCCCTTGGAAACCTCAACTAGATAACGTTTAATCTCATTGAGCTGTCCGTGCAAGCCGCGAATCCCCATCAACTGATCGGTTATCCGTTGTGAAAGGGTACCAGCAGTCTGGTCTTTTATGTCACGAAGCAAGTGCTCAACACCAACCCCCTCTGCTTCTTCGGCCCCTATTTCACTCGGAACATGTTCAAAAGTTTTTATAGGAGGCGTTCCATCCTTAAAAAATTTACTATCAAATGACTTTTTGTAGCGGAAACGTATAACATAGTAGACTTTGCAGGAAAAGAAGAATTTGAGAGAAACAGGCAGAACGAAAAAGAACAAATTACGTCGTGAACTTCTTGAACTTCAATGTACGCTTCGGTAGGTAAGCCAAGGTCATTAGGTTCCGCCTGTATGACTACTAGCAATGGAAATGCAGTAAAACGCTTCAATTGTTCATTTATGACAATGTCATTCTAAAACTGATATTAAATTTTAAACTTTTTGATCAGCAAGACTATTAAATTTAGCGACAAAAGTGCTTCGAACAAAAAGCTAAAATATTTTACAAGGAACAATAACTTACAAAGAGAAATTTGATGCTTAATGAAAAAAATTTAAAAATCCACTTGTCAATAAAGAACCGTCGGAAATTTAATAATTTAAAACAAAAAGTTACTCTAGAAAATAAAATAAAATCGTTAGCCATATTTACCTGGCACAGTTTAGGTCCCGTGTGATACCAACCGACAATCCTTTCTCTTGCAGCTACCTGAAATTTTCAGAAATTAAATATTTATTTTACTCAACTTATGAATGATAATACTCAGAACAAGAAAACAGTGAAATTTTGCACAAAATTTTAATCACACCACCAAATGAAGCAAATCCACGACACAATAATTCAGGTTGAAGGTAATAAAAATATTTCTTTAACAAATCTGTATTAGTACCTTACGAAACATTCCGTACATGCTTTCAAGATAATCCATGTCTAGGAACCACGTCCTCTTATCTTTCTCGTCCTCATCAAAAGGAACTGAATTTAAGTACTAATTCAGAAATCAAGGAAACTTCAAAATGTTCAATTTTTAGGTATAAACCTATAATCGACTTATCTCTACTGATAATGAAAAAGTAAAGATTAAAAGTTAGAAGATTTTAGTGGTTACTCAGTAAGCTTTTCCGTTGAGATAAAACAACAATGCCAAAACTTGTGTTCTTTCATGCACGACTATATTTTCCAAAACAATGAGGCTTTCTGTAACTGTATTAACTGACCAGCAAAGCTGTTGGCAACATCAAGCGTCCTGTCATACTTCATACTACCGAGCAAAACCCCTACAACTCTTTTAACATTCTGAGTTTTGCTAACTCGATTGAAATGATCAACGACAGAAAGAAGCACCAAAGGATGCACAATGACCTAAAACTACTAGCTTTTCGTTATAAGCTATTGACACAACGATTTATTGAAAACTGCGTTAGGGAAACTTTATTAAAAAATTTTCGATTTCCAATACAAGTGTAGTTATATTAAGTACCGACCACAGCAGCAAATAGAAACGATATCTAGTTCAGTTTTAATCTTTTAAAAAGTCCCATACACGAGCGAAGGATCAAAATAAAACAAAACTCAAACTAATTAACGAGCCTTACCCATTATATAAAACAGAACCATTTAACGCTTACTTTATTTATAGGGAGGTTCTGATGAACGGTACTAGCACAATGAATTTTTGTGTCTTTTTGAGTACTGCAACCCATGTCTCGTTTCTTTTCTAGCTCCGACTTTTCGTCTTGATTACGGGTGGCCATAAAACCTAAAAACATACCAAAGTACGGTGTATCCATGACACATCACAATTATAAGGGCACGAGCTGCATTGCCTCTATATTTTTTGATCGAAAACTTGACAACTCATGACAATAACAGATTTAAAAACAAAAACTACTTCGTCCAGAAACCTTAAAACACCTCTTCAACTTTTATGCAATATTTCCAAGTACCTGCCAAAGTTGAAAGCAGGGAATCATTAAAGGCCACATTACTGGAAAATCACTAGACCACTATTTCAGAAGCCATTTCACGAAAATTACTGGAAAAAAGTCAAAAATATTCCTTTTGCATGATCTGTAGAAAGTGCAGAACACTAGGATTACAACAGCTTATTCCTGAGAATACTAACCGCAGTTTTAAGACTATAGAGGCTGCTTGACAAAAAAGCCATTCAATCATCATTAATGCAAGCCAGAAGAACCTCAACGAGGACGAATCTCTTAATCATCACTATCACTTAAAAACGTTTGCTTACAGTTTTAAAACCCTGCGCTGTAAAAGATGCTTTACAGACACCATACCTTTTCAACACCGTTCCTCAGTATTCATCCATAAGTAGTCAATATATGTTAATTTGTTCTTTTCTACAATGTAAATTACTGAGCCTTAATTGCTTAAATGCATATAACCTTCCGACAACAAAGCTAATTAGTTTAAATGCAGCATCTGCTAAATTTTAACTTCCGCAACAGACCCAAATCTAAGCATTTTGGCGAAGTAGACCTTGTGCAATCGATGATACTCAGTCTAATTTTTGACTACATCAGTCTCTTGTCAATGAATGTTGTCGGGGAATAACATCAATGAAGAAGTTCAAGACAGAGTGATAACGCACCTTTCAGATGAAAAATTTCAACTGTCACAAAAGCAGTTACGCTATAGTTTCCTTCAGAGTACTTTTTTCAAAGACGACTTTTTTGAAAGGTATACCCATTATTTACAAATATTCACTTGAACACCTAAGAAGAAAGTTATAAAATTTTAAAACGTCGGAAGTTCTGGTGGTTTCAGAAAAATCAGTACCGTCTTTTACGCACCTTTTTGCAGGTTAACTTAGATTTGCTCCCCGAGGTTTTACATAACAGCTTCCAATCTTCTAAATGCCATCTAAGAACTGAAGTAATAAATAAGCTGATGACCACGAAATACCAATGGAAAAAAATATATTAAGCAAAAATAGATGTCAATCATAACCACTAAAACGACCCAATTCAACAGTAAGATACAACCCTTAGCGTAAAACTCTAGGCGACCTTTTCATAAGTTAATGATAAATTTAACGGTCCCGCATTAACTTCGACCAGAACCTTAAACATACTGAAGTATCAGGATAAAACTCATGTAACCATGAAGAATTGCCAATTATTAACCGGTTACCACTTTGTTCCCAAAACTGGAAATCCTTAATTTCTACGTGTAAAACAGAAACATTTTTCGTATGTATCTTCTACTTTAAAGGATTGCACTATAAATGCTTCGAATCGCCGGTACATGCTCGCCCATTTTGCTAAACCAGGCTCAAAGATGTGTCAATAAGCGACTGCCTAATTACATTTTGACTCTTGAGGAATTATTCATATATTAAACGCCGCACAAAAGTATATTTCCGGCAAGTTTTCTCGGGAAATGTGTTACTGAGAAGACGAATAACAGAGATGGCGAAGCAAAAACAACCGAGTAACTTCGACAACGTACCGGATAGTCGTCGATTAACCCAACTTAAGGCACGGCTGTGATCGACCTTAGCGCAGAGAAACCGTTGACACAAATCCAAAAATTGTAGCCTTTGTGAATTTGCAGCACAATTGCAGATCTATATGAACCTTGAAGGAAATTACTTTTTGTGACTTGCGTAAAAAAGTTAGTTTGTCGTTTTAATTGGTATGCTAAAGAAATAATATTTGGGGTGTTTTTCGAGCTTGCTGATTGTAATATATCCAAATTGTAGAAGTTTTGAAAACTTTATTACGCAAAACTGGAAAATATACTTTAGAAACTCAATGAAACTACTTAAATAAGTAAAACAAAATTTACCGTATTTACAACATAGCAACGTCTATGACCTTCGGTTTGAGGCAAGAAAAAACTTTGCAAGACAGCAGTAGTCAACAATAACCTATTATCAACTAGATTTTGAGAGTAATTCCAATTTTCTACTTTGACAATACGATAGCAGTTCGTCAAGTGAAAAACATGTATAACATGTTCTTTTGCCACATTTCTGTAAAAGATCCCACAATCGGTTAGTAACTTTGGCAGCTTAGATTTACTTTCAAATTCCGGTTTGTGCACTCTATGTTAGCCTATATTTATGAACTTCTTAGGCTGTCGACTATTCCGGAACAGCCTTTCAAAAAGGTATAAAATTTTATGCCGTGGCATGTTCGATAAATGCCACAGTAAAATGTTAATGTAAGTAAAACAGCAAACGCTCTTAATCTATTTGCCGTTGTTAATTTTGTAGTATATTCGCTTAACAGACCGATTCTGTTTCACTGAATAATTTGATGACAGATAGCTTCAAACCAGGTCCAAGTAACCAGAACGAAAAGGTTCGACCTAATCAATGTTACCATTACCACTGACGGATTTTTTTAACTTAAAGCTACAAATTTCAAAATTTATGCTTTAAAGAACTGCTAAAACTACAGATTTTACATGACGTTACAAGCAATAGAAGACTCCATTGTATATTTCATAAACAAAATCCATAAAAGGGAATTAAGTGCAGTACGGATGTTGTAAAACAGTAAACGACCACGTGTTTATCAGACAACCTGATGCACTTTGTTTCGTAAGTTTGAAACCTTTGGAGACAACCCCATCTTGAGGCTGTACAATACTACTCTTTACAAAACAGCTTACTCCGCAGGGTAACAGGTCGTCAACAGCTGCACCAAAAGAAACGGCGGAACCAAAAAAAGCCTCTAAAATTATGGGCCAAAGTTCTCTGGAAGGGTTGCATTAAAAATTCATAATATAAGACAGACTAGTGTTGAACTTAGGAACCTGAACAGTGTTTTCCGAACCATCACTGTGAGTTCTGTTTTAGTTTCAAGGATTTTCTGCCCGTGAAAGCTTTCACACCAAATTAGGGATGAATCCGCCTATATATTCTCATAGAACACATAACATCGAAAACCTAAGCAATTGTGCTGCTACTTTGCATACAGTGTAATTCTTGTTTTTTTGCCAACAGTTTTATATCGCCGAAGCGGGGAATATGTAGCTGACTGCTACAAGTCGACTTCTTCAATGTCTTGAAGACATTATCCTACTTGTCATGTCTTCAACGACCTTTAATGTTTCCATCTGTTGCCGTCATCCATACCTTATTTCTTTGAAGCATTTTGCAATGTGCATTTGTATAGCACTCAACAGTTCATTTGTATGATATATTTACGTTTATATTTGTATTTACTCAAATGGTTATTGCATAATTTTTGAAGAAAGAACACCACATGGATTCCAATCGTTAAATAATGGTGAGATATGTTACCATATTTATTTAAGAAGTTTACTGTACGATAATATATATTGTATTCTTGAGGATTTTTATCTCCCATTAACTGGGAAATAAAAATTTTTATCTTCTGTTTTTTTCATTTTGCACCTTGATGTCTGTACTTGTTAACTGTTGGGTGTTTTGATACACGTTTCTTTTTCATATGTATTTGTCCAACTTAAAAAATCAAGCTTTTAGTAATATAGATAAAGATTTGTAGTCAGTTGAATCAACTGATTAGTTTGGTCAGCTTTAATCCTGCTTTCGTTAATTGCTACCCAGGAAAATAAAGGCGTTAAAAAGACCCGTTTAGCATATTTCTACTGTAATGGCCAGTTTTATTTGATGTGCTTTTATTATTTCTGAAGACTAAGCTTTATAGTCCTAGTTTCCGTTCACTTTTTTTTCAGTCTACTAATTCAGTAAGGCGCGCACTGTTTATTCCCAGGTTTTGTCATTTCACTTTTCTTTTTATTTCTTCTTCAATAAGTTTCCGCTTGTGATCAAGTTCTTGTGTAAAATCCTGGAAAGTTTAAACTTTACGAACCGGGAAACAAATTTTTGTCCATCTCAGGTTTTTTTTTTTCTTTTTGTAATTTGTCGGGTAAAATATGTAAATTACAACAATTTACTTGTTATTAAGAAATGGGTGGTTAATTTGTCGTTTTTATATAAAAGTTCCATTTTTTACAGAAACGTTGGGTCAATATATTTGAAATTAGAATTTTAAGTTATCCTTATTTATTGGAATTCCGTTACAGTTACTTATCATTTGCCTTGCTAGATAGCAACATTTAATAACAGAATATGAAAAATTTGTGAAGTGTAAGAATTCGGTAATTTTGTTGAAGCAGTCAATTAAGAAATATAGCTATTATTTGCGCGCAGCGTGTGGCATTTGGCTGGCAGTTCGAAGCCTTAAACAGTGCTCCTTTTCGTAAACGCTAGTCAGCAAATTCAGGAATTATCTAGATTGTCAAGTTCTGGTTTTTTTATCGAACGACACTTTACTGCGTGTAGCAATATTCTTTTGTTTCACATTAATGACACTATGTTTGATTAGCCGTCTTAAACTCAACAAAGTAAGATCTTTCCGAGAATACTTAGTTATCTTCTGCGTATCTGCTTTCATGGTGATAAAACTTTGGCAGCCGAAATTTGGCTTCATTTTTCAGTTGTATTATACCATATTTTTGCACTTGTGTTTCAGTGAGAACTGTTCAGTAGAAATTGTAAAGCAGTAGTAGTTATCTTCATTTTATTTGTTAGATAGGCTAAAAGTTGACTGAA